TAGTGCGACTCTTACCAGAATACCAACGTTTAAAACCTAAATTATCAATCTCCTTAGCCTTTTCTCCCACCCACTTAGTTTCTTGAATACATAAGATATTAATTTTCCTATGAATCATAATATCAACTAATTCCATTAATTTACCATTGAGAGTGCCTATATTCCAAGATCCTATCCTAATATTAGTTTCATTAGTTTCATGGACTAACTTCTTTACCCGCATTCGCCCGTAATGTGGGAACCCTTGCTTATTTAACACTACACCCGGGCGCCGGTGTAGCGGCCCTTGCACACTTTTCACTGTATTCAGGCTATACAGCGCGTCGCTTCCAGGGGACGCCCTAGCACTTACACAATGATCAAAAGGATTCATGTCATGATTTTTTCGACAAGTTTTACGCTGGCTGTCGACTACCTAACGCAACCCTCCACTTTTCTCATCCGGGCTTGGGACCGGCAACGTATCCAATAAAAAGTAAATAAAGATAGGAAGATTAACACATCAACATCAGAAATTTATGCTTCTGAAAGACGTCGAGGGAACAAGCATAGCATGAAAATCACAAGAAATATACAAAACTTACATCACATGAATACAAAAGAAGATTAATTACATTACATGACGAAAGAAAACAAAAAATTTGTTATTGCAAGTATAAGGAAGGGATATGATGCAAGAAGTACAGAAAATTCAAGATAGAGTCAACCTGTCATTGTAATACATCGAGTTCCTTTCCAATCAATATAAATATTCATGGATCTCTGTCATACAAATACACTCAATCTCACCCTACGAGATCATAAAAATCCTCAAACCATTATGGAAAAGAAGAATAAACAAGAAAACGTACTCTTTGAGCGAAGTCGAGGAATAAAACTCCCAAAAGCTCCAAAAGACTTTCCAAGCCTTTGAAGCACAACCCCCTAGGCAACAAGTTTACTCATAATCATAAAACTATGTATTTATACTTAGATCATGCATTAGAGGTCCAAAATAGACATTAAATCTCTCTAAATTGGTCAAAATTCCAAAATTATGCATTTTGGCGGGGTGGCGTACGTGGGTGCGTGCGTGCACGCCTGCCCAACCTGGATTTGGCAAGTCTAGTGGCTAGTTTGGCAAGTGGGGGCGTCAATTGCGGGCGTGTGCACCGCGAGTGCGTGCAAGTGCCTGCATATGGCTTGCAGAGGGGCGCGAAGCTGGATTTGGGCACCGCGGGCTCTAGATTTGGTAAGTCTTGGCATGACAGGCTGGATTTGAAAGGGTGGCAAGGATCAGGTTGGCCAGCGTGGAGCGCTGATCTGGCATATCCACTGGGTATGGGTTAGTGCACCGTGGGTGCATGCAAGCTAGCACAAATGGTTACGCGAGTGCGTTGCGCTGGATTTATAAAGTCGACAAGGTACTTTTGGCAAGCTGCGGAGCCTTGATAGTTGCGCATGACGGGGCGTGCATAGTTACATGCACTTGCACCCGCCTAGTTTGCGTGCATGCACTCGTGTGGATATGCGAAGTCTCATTTTTCATTCTTTTTTGCTTCAGTTTCATCTCTTTTTCTTTTCGAAATTTCTTAAGCCCTATATTCTACCTAAAACAATAAAAATACCATTCGCAAGCGTAATATTATGACGAGTAAGAGAATTAACATGATATTTAACGCGAAAAAATTACATAAATTTACCTCTTATCAATTTCCTCAAACTTACTCATTATTCACCCTCAAGTAATCTCATAGCTCAATGGGGCCTCATGAGGATATAATAGACACTCTTGTAGGTTTCTAAAATATTCAATTTGTTTATCAAAGTAAAATAAAAGTGTTTAAATGTAGTTTTAGGTTCAATTATTCTTAATATTTAATAACTTAGTCTTTTCCTTAATTTCTTTTGTTCTGCCCCAATAAATCCCAAAAATACTTAAGTTGTTAGAGTTTAAATATTTTCACTAACCTCAGATATTTTAAGACAATTTCAGTAAAACAAGCCAATCTAATTCTACTTAACATTTTTCATGAAGATAATATTAGATGAAATTCATTAAAGAATCATAAAAAGGTGTTATCACTTAAGTCCTACTAGGACTCCTTCCAAGTTTTTTCTGTCGATTTACATGCCAACCTCAAGCTTATTCTCAAAGATTTTCCTCATTTTAACCCTTTCTTTTTATTCTTTTTCCTTTTTTTTTCTTTTGAGAATTTTTATATCTGATTTGATAATTTTTTTCTATTTTTTTTAAATATTATGAAGTTCTATTTTCCCCTAACCAATAAATAAGTCTAATAAAATAATTATTTTAATGTTACCTCTTAATGTTAATTTTCAAGTAAAAGTTAAGACAATGTTAAATTGGCTTAGTAAAAAAAGGCTTAAAACCTCTTTGGTTTGCTATTTAATATTTTAATTACACCTTTTAAGTTATCCTGAGATTTGTTTAGGTTCATTTAGAAGTTTTAAGTTCTAAGACCTTATTATTATAACATTAAGACTAATCACTCTCAAATTACATTTATCCCCTTTTTACAAAAAAAAAAATTACTAATCTTTTGTTATCCTCGATCCATCGCCTAATCTTTTGTTGATCTTGGAGTTTTTATTAAATCCTCATTTCAGTCTTTCTTATAATTTTTCCCTCTCAATTTTGACAAAAGTTTTTTACAGGGTATGTATGGGGAGTATTCAAACTCAATTTTGAGACTTTTGAGTTTGAATTGTCCCAAATCTAGAATTGTCCCACTTAATTTTTTTATTTGCAGATCAGTATTTTCCTCATAAGTTGCATGAAATGGGTCCTTAAGATAATTCAAGGCCTTCTAAAATTTGGGTTAGATTTTTTCTTTGTTCTTTAGGTTCTTGATATAACTTCACTGGGTTACCCTCCTGCCTAGGGCTGTTTTCTAACTCTTCCTTTTGGGGCACTTCTATAGGTGGTCCTATAGGCTCAACTATCTTTCTTACAATGTAAGGGGGTGCTTGGAAAAATGAGCAAATTCTTCCTCGGCAGCTGTCTTACCAAAATCCTCCAACTTGGCTTGCTCTTCAGTGACCACTCTTTCAAACTTAAAGTTATGGCTCTCGACTACTCCGGATACCCGTTGGGATTCTAAGATACCTAACTACTTTATTTGACTTTTTAAGTTTCTAATGCGGCGGTTTGGTTTTGTATTTGATTTAGTAGATTTATTGTCAATGTATTCAAATTCTTATTTTTTTCAGAGTAGTCACTATCCTAGTTATTCTAATATTTTACAGGATTAGTTTGGGGATCCATCATAGCTGGTTTTGTACATTGGGGTCATTGTTAGTCCAATTGAAGTTTTGCTAAGTTGACCAACTTGGTTGGAGCTATTGGAATATGGTCTTCAAACCTAGTTTTTATGACGGGGTGTTAAAAACTCATGTGACTGTGAGCTATCAATGAGTTGATATAATCCTGAAATTGTATAAATTGGTTTCACTAATGGTTTGTCAATGGGTATTTAAAATTCATGGGAAAGCTAGCCATCAATAGGTTGGCATATTTCTGAATAAGTGTATATTGGTTTTCTTGAGGGTTTGACGCTTCAAAGTGTTGAAACATTTTTCATATTTAGATTTTGAATTTTTTTCTAAAAATATAAATAAACACAAGAACAAAATAAAACATAAAATAAAAATAAAGATAAAATAATAAAATTTTCAAAGTTAGGCTCCGAGCATTTCAACCAAAATTCTCCTAAGGTTAGAAAATTTTGACAACTATCTTCGATAGCGGCTCAAAAAACTTATCGCGAAGTAAGTCAGTCAATGACGTAAGTATACGTGTCAAGTAATAATGTGGCTAAAGAGTACTGCATATCGATTTCACAAGGATAGCGTCAAAAAGTTTCTAACGAATGAAATTCTAGTTCCTTGAACATCTAAGTTTAGTTTGAAATGCACAAAATCAGGAGATGAATCCATAGTCCTAAAATGGAAGTAAATAGAAATAGCAGGAAAATGTGTTGAGTTTTTCAAATATTCAAGATTCGTACTCCTATGTTATAGTTCAGGTGGTTTCTTATAGTTTTCCTATGGTTCCCACGCTATAGTTGACAACCGGGATATAATGTTCTCTTTATGACTTTGCCTAAGTCAAAAGAAGACTAGAACCCATGAAGTTAAGTTCTCTTTATCCTCATGACATTCCACAAGATTTTTCCGATCCTCTGGATACGTAGCAAAATTTTACTAGACTTGTCTATTTGTACTGACATTTTGTGTTAACCTACTCGTTTCACTATACAATGGACATATGTCATAGTTCATGAAGGATTTTAACTTTCTTATCGCGTCTGATAAAAAGTAAATGACTCAACAGCAGAAATTTATGCTTCAGAAAGACGTCGAGAGAACATGAAATCCATAGCATGAAAAACAAAAGAAATCTATAAGACTTACATCACAGGAATACGTAAGAAGATTAGATACAAAGCATGATGAAAGAAAACATAAACTTTGTTATTGCAAGTATAAGGAAGGGAATTGACGCAAGAATTACAGAAAACTCAAGATAGAGCTAAACGGCACTTGCAATACATTGATGTCATTTTCGATCAATATAAATATTCATGTATATCTCTCATACAAATTCACTCATCTTATCTTACACTATCATAAAAATCCTGAAATAATCATGAAAAATAAGCAAAACTGAGGAAAAAAACTCTCAAAATTTTCAAAAGACTTCTCAAGCCTTAGAGGCATAATCTCCTAGCCAAAAAGTCCTCTCATAATCATAAAAACATGTATTTATATTTAGGTCATGCATTAGAGGTCCAACATAGGCATTAAATCTTTCCTAATTGGTTAAAATCCAAAAATTTTGTGTTTTGGCAGGTTGGCGTGCGCGCCCAAGCTTGATTTGACAAGTCCAGTTGCTAGTTTGGTCAAGTGGGGGCTTCGGTTGCAGCCGTGTGCACCGCGGGTGCGTGCAAGCACCTGCATATGGCTTGTGGAGGCGCGTAGAGCGGGATTTGGGCACTACGGGCTTCGGATTTTGCAAGCCTTATGTGCATTTTTCTACCCACTTGACTTGGTAGAACATTACATAATCTACCGATATTGTCAACCGAAAATGCATTGAGGGCTTTTGTATGATGCTTGTGTTTCTTGAATCAGCATGTTTTTTTTAAAACTTGGTTAACATTGCTAAAATAAGTGGTTCAAAGTATGCCAAAACAAAAGTAAGCATGGAATAAAGGTTTTGACATGAATGGCGACATGTTGCACTGTGAATTATGAACTTTGCTGCTCTGAATATTTATAGTGATAGATCAGTCAATATCACAAATAGTTGGTTGATGATGATGATGATGACAATGCTGATATCTCAGCAAGTTGAATTTCTGTACGTTTCTTGCTTTCAAAAGAAATATGGGGAGAAAGAAAGGAGTTTATCAAAGGCCTTATGTATGCATTGCTGATGGATAGAGAAAAAGTTTGTTTGATGAGCAGCAGAACAGCTCAGAGTTCGGAATTTTGACATCCATCCATTTTTTGTTAGAAATTAGCATTTAGAATTTTAAAACTGAGAAAAAAGAAAACCTCGTGTGCCCCTCTTCCACCTTTGCAACTCCATCTTCTCTTGATCCGGAAAAGTGATAAAATAGGTTTGATGGCTCTGAAGCCTCAAATATTTTGTTCTCTCCTTTAACTTATAACTTTCTCCCTATTTTCTTATTTGATTAATAGTTTTCTTCAGGATACTGCCTTTATGCTACCTGCAAAGTTTAGCGTAAGCCGTGTAGGCTAGATCCATGAGGCTTTGGCATTTATATCCTATACATTGTGAATGCAAACGTTGAATCCACGGTTTCATTAGACCTTCAATGAATGTAAAGCGTTATTAAATATCATGTTCATATCCACTGGTGACACAGCACCAGTTGATGAATTCTTGGAAATCAATGGAGAAACTATAGGATAAATGCTGTGGAAAATATTGGACAGAGAGAATTTAAGTATGCTAACAATGGCTTGCATAGAAAACTAGAGAGTATACAGCATTTATTAATATTTTCCTCTATATCCAGTAGTGACTCAATACCTATGGAAGATCTTAGATGTTGTGCTGATTGTTTTGCATGAAGGAGCTAGAGTTGAAGATATTTAAAAGAATACAGTAAAGAATAGAGGGAAAGAAATATGGATGCACTTAATGGTCTCTTTACCTATTAAGTGATGGGTGCATGTCATGCTGATGATAAGTGTTGGATTACAAATTTTAAATATTCCTTGGCCCCAAATTCCTTATTTTTTTTGTCTCTGTATAAATTCTATAATTGGCACTTATCCCTTTCCTCTTCTATTATTTTGATTTCTTCTCGATATATCATCCATCAAGTATTTGATTCCAAACAGGACTGTTTCAGTTGAGAAAATATCACCATTTGGTCTTTTTGAGGCAAGGGTTTGTTTAGCTTTGGTCAAATAGGTGGTGGTTAAGAGAGGAATGGGAGTTTGGAACATGGACAAAATGCATGAACGGAAAGATTAAAAGTGCAATTGTCCTGTAAATCTACAACTAATATAATTTCTATTTATTTTTATGCTTTAAGCTAATTAGAAATGAGCTTGATCTCCTCCGATGTTTATGGTTCAACTGGTTCCATTTTATGATTAAGTACCATTTTCTAAGCCTGACGTGAGACATTCAGGTTAATGCAGGATTTTGTCCCATTTATATTTGAAAGGTTTTAGCTTGCAAAAGAAGAAAAGGAAGATTTACATTCATACGACTCAATTCCTTTGTATTTACATATCTAACACCTAAACTTCAATTTTTACATACATGCCACGTTACCTGTGGATGTATAGCTTTATTTCATTTTTTACGAGTTAAAATGATAGTATTTTTAATGTGATATGAAATATTTGGGTGGTATAAATCAAAAAGGTAAAGTTTATAGATATGTAAATACATAGGAATGGGATGGTATGTTTATAAATGCCCCCAAATAAAACGTCTTGACTTTTTTGTGAAGTTTGGTTACTTCCCTCAAGTTGAAACAATATAATCTTGTATTTGGATGATACTTTAAATATATAAAAAAAACTAACATTTTACTTGAATGGCCAGTTAGTTTTTGTTATAGGATATTGATGTATATCACTTTATAATGTATTTTTAAAATTTTGAAATAATGAATAAAAACGAGCCAAAGTTATTAAACAAACCTGTTTGTGTAATTTACCCAAACTGCTTATCATCCAATTAAAACTTCTCAGTTCATAGGTGTTAGATATGTAAATACATAGAAATTGGGTGGTATGTATGTAAAAGCCCCAATGTTATTGTGCTTGCATGTTTAACATAACCAAATGGACTTCTGTTTTTAAAAAAGAAAATTAATGCCTTTTTTTCTTATGTTTTCTTCAAAAATGAAAAGAAAAAATATAGAAACAAAACAGAAGGAAACTAAACCAAAACCAAATGAAAATAAACATTACCATACATGACCAATTCGACAAAACATATGGTAGTTGATGTAAAGCTTAATTTGTGATTTTAAAATAGTGCTTTTAGGAATAAAACTGTCCGATGGACAGTTCTGCAAATTAACTAATTTATATTTTATGGCTATTGCAGCTTTCATTTACTTTGTACTTGGAATTGATATCTTTTCTGGTTCACATTCTTTTAGTAAATGCACAATTAGAAAGCGATGAATTGCCATTTACTGCTTTTATGCTGATGAAGGCAATTGTTGAATTATGGTGATCAATTAATTTCTTTTTTTTTTGTGTTTTCAGCATGTAATATCAGAAGAACCCTTTGAGGCATCACCATTCATTACTCAGGGGTTTGAAGATGACCTGGATGCAATATCAATCAAGCAACAAGGTTTATCTGAAGGCAATAATACTAAGGCATCATCTAATGATGAAGAAACTAGTGTTAGGGAGAACAATGTAGCCAAGATCAAAGTTGTGGTGAGTTGAGTCTTTCTACACTTTATGCTTTAGTTCTTTCTAGTTGTCTAGGCTAGGCCTTTAGCTTGGGAGACTGTTTATTTTTAGTTAATGGATTTAGTGACTTTGTGCTGGTTCAATTGAAGTGCAAAACTATGCAGAAGGTATAATAATTTTGTTCAGACATTGCGGAGGGCATTGGTTTCTAGTGTGATACTCCATCTATATAAAGCTGCATGCTTTTGTTTTTCTAATCCCCTTTTTCAGTTTTTGCACTCTTTGCCAATTCTCTAAATTCCATCTATTTGTAATGTCTGCAAGTGTGGAAAGGAAAATTATTGCGTGATATCTTATGGCCTAGGCTCATTAGTTTGAACATAAAAGGAGATGTATATATGTAAAGATTACAGAGACACAAAACAATAATTCATAAAAGTAGAAAGGCTTTAATGTGTTCCAAAGAATGATTCAAAGTTAACAACAAAGCAATAGTTCCACCTGAAATTTGAAAACAAATATAATGTCCATTACTTGTAAGATTCACATCACAAATTTAGAAAGGGCAGTAAAAAATGCTCTTTGTTTGTGTTCGGTTATATTTGTTTGATAATTAGTACAAATTGGACTGGTTTTTATAAGCTTGTATATTTAACGAGGCAAAGATGAAGGAGGCCTTTTTCAAATATGTTTGGCTTGAGGATACATTGATTATGGTTATATAGGCATAAGACTGTGCAAATAAATGTTTTTGTATTTATGTGTGTGTGTGTGTGTGTATATATATATATATATGTGTGTGTGTGTGCCCCGTACCTTGACCTATTGGTTGTGTGTGTGTGCCGCGTACCCTGACCTGTTGGTTGAAATTCAAGGTATAAAACCCCTCAGGTCGGGGGCTCAAATCCCCTGACACAATTGACCTTAAGGAGGTGGTACTCGAATTTTTAGACACATTAGGGATGGTTGGAGGCTCGTATAATAGACTCTGGCCATTCCTTAAAAAAAAAACAAAAAAAATGTATATATATACATA